TGTACATGGATTTTAAAGCATGAGCAACACCTAAAATTTTATTCGCATCAGGAAATTGCGTTTTGCTTGTATCAAACTAACGAGTATGCCGTTTTTATTTTCATGTTTCGTGGACATACGCGGCCTCGAAAGGATGTTGTCAGTATTGTGCAAACAGTTGCTTTTAAGTTCTGACCCTCGTCATCATCTTCTGTTCTTATTTTGCAGCACCTCCAATGTTATCCGCATCAGGAAATTGCGTTTTACTTGTATTGAAAGTGCAATTAAAGGACTTGGCAAAGTTTCGAGGAGCCGCACGCGACACGCGCGCTTACGATCGGGATGTTATGAAGGACGGGAATCTGCGCCGCAAAAAGGTGTAAGGCGGAGCATGGAGGAATTAGCGTGTTTCACGGTCCTGTATCTCCATTCCTGGGCATGTTTGGGCGGGGGGACCACGACACATCGACAGCTGGGGGGCTGATAGTCTCATACACCCTCAATGTGTTTAAGCGTACCATGTGTCTTTAACTAGAAATCTCACTTTTCTACGGAGAAATATCGGAAAAAAAACGGTGACTGTTTCTGTTCCAAGAATGGAGCTTCGCTTTGTAGCGGAATTGGGGCGCATCATTGTCGGGGAATCCCCAATAGGGGGGTCGTATTTGGCCGCCAGGAGAGGAGGGGTTCGTATTTATGCTGAGAAAAACTTATTTTGATAGTTGTTTTTCTCGCTTCGCGGACGTTTCCTAAAGGGGGGGGGGGGGGTCATTAACTGGTATTGTTTGGGAGGGCGGGGAGTCGGTATTTATGTGTTTGGCGTTGTAGGAGGTTGGTTGTGTTCTATGTTTTCCCTTTTTCCATTTGCGTACTATCCCCCTCTCGCCCTCCTCCCCCCCCCCCCCCCCTCCTCCTCCGCTCGACGGCTCGAGGAGGGACAGAGAGCCGGCGGGAGGGTCGTACAAACCTGCCCTGAGTGGAATGGCTTCCTCAAGAACTATCCAGACCACACAACGGTACCCACTGTGACCAGTATTGAACTAGTGCGCATCTGTTTTTGCACAACTATCTATTCTGAAGAAACAAGTACGGTGGAAACCATGCAACTATTTGAGATTAATTTTATAGAAAATGAGAATTCTATATAATAAGAAATTATGGGCACGGACAGGAAATACCTCAATGGAGAAATTCTATATTAGTTTGTCCATTACCTTGGAGCATTGACGTTCAAATGGTCTCGAACAGTGGCGTCCAGAGCATGAGGGTCGATCACCATCTGGGTCATCGTCAAACCCAACTTAGCCACAAATGCGTTGATCGCCTCGGGCGGGATCCCACGACGACGTAAAGCAGCAAGTGTGAATAGTCGCGGATCATCCCAATCTCTTGAACAGGGTATTTGTAAGTAAAAGGTAACACATATGAATGTAAAGTGATTTCGTAAAAGTGGATAAAAATGGTACACGGTGATCAATCGCTTCTGTATGCTCACGCGTGCAAGGTCCGGTGCTCTAAAGGAGTGAGAAAAGATGAAAAAGACGAAAAAGAGAAGAAAGCAAAGAAGAAAAGAGAAGAAGACGAGAAAGTGCGAAAAGGGCGCGGGTCACTTTTTTTTTTGGTGGTCGTATGAATCCGCGCTATAGTAGGAGGCCAAAACTTGCATTTTCTCCCGGCCTGCAAAACAGCACCACGGCTGCCTGAAATGGATGCTACACTAACTAGTAGACCTAGGGTAGGAAAAACCCTAGAACGAGTCGAGAAAGGCACTTCTAGGAATTTTTCGGATTTCCTTCCACCACTGCAAGAAAAATCTTTTCACAGATAAAATATTTCAGGGAAAATCTGCGGATTGACTGCTCGTTTACTGGTTCTATGACAAGCTGTACATTCACTTTCGGGGACCAAATCCTAGCCATCTGCTCGCTCATTGTGTTTGCATGCAGAAGCCACTTTCATCTATGGAAAGTGTGTCAGAACGAGGGTGAAGCGTAGTGAAAGCTAGGTGGTGTTTCGGACTCTACCCATAAACTAAACCCACAGACGCGCTACCTGTCCCCGACCAGGCATATGCCTCCCTATAGTCGATCGAGCCAGTGCCCTTCCTTTGGTTGTTTTCTTCCTTATGTGTACGTCCATCAGAATGGCAGCTTGGCCTTGATAGCGACGCAAGTGCCGAATGTTGTGGAAGCGGGTGAATCTGGAACATCATCTGGCCATCACTACCCTTCGGTCCTCCTTCGAAAGGTGGGAGTGGCACGCTCCTATTGCTGCGGGCCAGTCCACTTCGCCCAAGGCATGGGTCCAACTTGCAGGTTCGACTTTCTGGCCTGCAAAATGTCTTTTCGGTAGGATAGGTTAACATCTAATATACTCCAGACTTGACTATTGTATGGGCCAAAACACACGTTTAGGGCCATCAGAGATACTCAGTCAAAGGCGAATGTGGGACGGATTTCAAAGGATTCAATCAACACCGCATACTCAATCCCTTTGTCCTGCTTTACAGAACTGTAATCTTTCTCACAGTTAATAGTAACATACTTCACAATTCCGGAGTCAATAAGCTTCAAGATTTTCCGTTTTGATACCACAGTGTAGTTCATATTCAACCTGCCGTATTCCCACTGAACCGGGCAGTAGATGTCCAACATGTTACATAGAGCATAATAGGAACTCCGTCTGCAACTTGTATACAACATGAGATCAAGTAATCGAACAGGGCAAGAATCAAGACAGGGGTATCAACTGCATTGGCTACTGTTTCAGGAATATCGAATGAATACCTTGACTGAAACTCCTTTGTACATAGAGAATGGGTAATATTCTCTCAATTGAACTCGCAAAGGCAATGCGTGTAGTCGTATGTTGGATAAATACACCTAGAAAATAAAACTTATCACACTAGTTGTCTGAACACTTAATTGCAGGACTACCGTTGAGGCAGCGTTCAGACTTCGCGACGGTAGCGCTTCGGTCGCGCGATCGATGCAGTCGAAAGCATCACCGCTCATGCTTCAAAATCCATGTACAAGGAGATGAAGATGACACAGGCTAGAAATGAAGCACAACGATGTAAATGTAAACAAAACAAAAATGAAAAAATCAAGGAAAGGCAAATTAGTTAAAATCGCCTGTAAATTTCTACGATCCGGCGCCGAATCCGGCGCCATAGAAATACTTAGAACAAACGAGTGGGACGCTTGGGTTGTTTTTATTCTCATGTTTTGTGGGAATGCGCGGCCTCTGATGGATACTGCAGATGCAGCCGAGTTGCTCTTGAGTTCTGGCCCTCGTCATCATCTTCTGTTCTTATTTTGTAGCACCTCCAATGTTATCCGCATCAGGAAATTGCGTTTTACTTGTATTTGAGAGCGCAATTAAAGGACTTGGCAAAGTGCCAAGGAGCCGCACGCGACGGATGTTATGAAGGACGGGAATCTGCGCCGCAAAAAGGTGTAAGGCGGAGCATGGAGGAATTAGCGTGTTTCACGGTCCTGTATCTCCATTCCTGGGCATGTTTGGGACCACGACACATCGACAGCTGGGGGCTGATAGTCTCATACACCCTCAATGTGTTGAGCGTACATGTGTCTTTAAATGCACTATGTATTAGGTCATCTCTTTCGAAAATGCGGGGTCACATTGTAGAGTTGCAGGAAAGGGAAGGTGCTGAGACAGTGGGTCTCCATGTTATTTGGGAGCCAGAACGTTTAGTTACTTTGAACCTGGCCAAAGTGACCTCACTAGAACTACTGTGAAAATAGAAAGGAATTCAGCGTTGGATTACCGAATCGGGCGTCATGCAAGGTAAATATGCTTTTCAAGCAAATGATGAGGTTGACCCCTAGTTGCAGAGAATGGTGTTTTCGGGAAGGAGCGTCGAAGAACGGATTCGAAAGTCTGAAGAAGGAAGTCGAAAAAGTTTATGGTCAACGAAGGCCCATAATATTAACCCTGCATTGTAATAGCACGTGAGCAGACTTAAACGTCCAGTGTCTGATCGCAAAGCCTGGGCCATTGTCCAACTCTCCCCCGAGGGTTTGAGTTCCTGGTGCAATCGTTGGCGTAGTTCACGTCTGTAGAAACGGACCCTTGCCAAAGGTGAAACCGGGGTTGTGTTGCATTTCGAGCAAAAGTCTACAGGCGTTGCCATCCAAGGAGTGTAAGTGAGCAGCCACTCGAATTTTAGCTTGAGGGGTTCGGCCTCGTAATATTCCTGACGACGAATTTTCGGCTTATGGCTTTTTAGCGGCTCTTTCCATAAAACAAAACCACTTGCGGTACGTCTTTCCTGTTCCTCGATGGCCACTTCGGCAAAAGAGCGGTGCCACACAGCTTCAAGGAGGTCAGCACTTCTCATCACAATGCGAGGTTCCAAATTATGGAATTTATTCAATTCAACAGTATTTCGACGAAAAGAAAGTTGAGAAAGACCTGGAAGTTTGGAGTTATGGTACCATCTCGGCTCGCATCAACCTTAATTATCTACAACGTCATGTCCCCGATGTTGTTCTTCTAATCGCTCCTACGATTAGCTATTCAAGACGGTTGCAGAGAGAAGTTGGTCTCCGTGTTCACTACTCCCTCAAATGGCAGCGGCTCAACCCTTAAGGGGGTTCGGGGGAATCGGTACCGAAGTCCAACGTACTTCAAGAGAGGGCCTTCCGAGTTGTTAGTATAGTACGAAAGAAGTCATGCAGTGGAGTACCCTACCATTCGATACTGCAACTCATGCGTAACTTTCTGACAGCTCGATCGGCAAAAGACCAACTTCAACAACTCAGTGAAAGACTAGACTTTGACTGTGCCCTTCTCTGATGTCTTGGTTGAACCCAGATCTTGCTAGAAATCCTATGAAATGCTCTTCCGATGGATAGATCTCCGGCTTTCATCCAATAGCGCTGACGTCGCTCAGACGGCTTCACCACCTAATCCGCTCCTAAGCTCATTTCCTTGAGAAGAAGTCATACGTCGACCAACATGTTTCCTACACCGTCACCCAATCTTCCATCGACCAGAGGTCTGAAGTTCTACAGGAGAGGCACAGAGCAACTTTCTACATATTAGCGATGTGTTATAGATGTCAGATATGGCGTATACTACCCTCAATGAATAAATAAAAGAAAAATTAGAAAAGATATTCGAGATGAGTCAAAGTGCTCTGTAAATTATGAACCAGAGCAATAGGTGACCATGCCTGGATAAGGCTCATTCTCAGCACATTCCGTACCGCCGTTCTGCGAAGATCTTCATATCATTTCGTCGGTAATGTAAGCTGTGTTTTACTCTTGAGATATGTAAATTCGGTGTCGGAAAAAGTGTTCCGACAGTTTGAGGGCATGAAATAGATGCAAGATATACTATAAGAAACAGCACAGAAAAAAAAATGGATGACACACCATGTGTGTCACGCGGGCGGAACGTGTTAAAGGCATGAGGCACGGTAATTTGGTACTCCGTCTGAAATGGTAGTGGGGGTGTTATATATCAGGTTGGTGCATAAGTTTTTCCCCCTGTTTTGATCCTTCCGTATTTCGTTTGCATGGATGTTGGTATTTCGTCATCACGTGTGCGTGACGTGTACATGATACTCTTTCATCACACTAGCTATCACTCACCCACCCTGCATTTGCAGGCTACAATGCCGCACAATTACCAGTGCAAAACCATGTCACAGTGGTGATTGTGCGGCATTGTGGCCTTCTTCGTCCCAGTCCTTCTGGACGATGGAATCGACAAGCTGCCTGAGCGTTGGCGTCGAGTAGTGGATGGTGCATACCTCTAATCTTCAGGCTGGTTCGCTATTGAGATATTTACAAAAAAGTCGGGGAAAGAACTTATGCACCAACCTTAATAGTCATAAAATGGCGAGAAAGCGAAGTGAAATGGTCAAAAGGCTGCAAAAAAATCCGTTATACTACACGACCCCCGAAGCAATTCCGGACGAATTTCCCATTGGCATTGTGCCAGTGGAAAACTCGTCCGGAAATGCGGTAGATAAGGCTGCATGTATTTACTCATATATCCATGCACCGCAGCCCGCTTCATATCTACCCTCGCTTATATTGTACTTCGCAGATGAAGCGATACGAGCACCAGCATCGGTGGGGAATTCATGGGCGTGTGGGCGCGATGGGCCTTTGGGTCTTTACCTCGCACCTTGTTAGGGCGTGTAGGGCACGTTCCTTGGAAAAAGCGCAAAGCGCAGCGCCTGCTGAGGGGCCCTTCTAGGAGTATTAATCCCACACGTTTAGAGGGTTTGCGTGTCACTTGCTTTCAGTCTCAACGGAAGTAACCCATAACCCCTGCATCTCAGGATGGTCGTGGTTGACACGGCATTCACGAAAAACCTAGAGTAATTTTTCAGAAGTTCCGGTCTGGTAGAATATTTTTATGAAATGCCCATGAAAGAGAGCAAAAGCAGTCAAGATTATGGAGTTCCCAACGAAAAGCATTGAATTCTGGCTTGCTCGGTTTCAGAAAGCGGATCCTAGCCCAAAGTAAGTGAAACTGAATCAAATTATAAAGTAAGAGTGAAGGGCTCAGGATGCTCTGAGGAGAACGAAACAAACCTGCAACTACTTCATTGCACAGTGTCTGAGTGTCTGATGACCAGGACCCTCCGTATTTTAAAGAATGGTCTTGGTCTGTCGAATAGTTCGCCCCAGTACGTTCCTCACGACTCGTCCCTCAACCAGCAAAGCTTTCGAGTTCTGGCATGCCTTACCTCTAGCAGAAAAAGCCAAAGAATACATTCCCCCCGAATTTGTCAAAAAACATATTAAAGGAAACTCGCTCCAAAAAATCCTTGGACCAATTTGGTATTTGTTAATGGCAACACTACTCACACGAGGAATTTCTGGTGCGTAAGGCAGCGTTTCAACTTGTCGCGCTGTAATATCGCGCTTCAGTTGTCGCACTGCAATTGTCGCGCTACAACAAGACCCCGGCTTCCTTTATGTTCTTTCTTCCAGTATTCAATTCCTTTTTCACTGTTTCTCATTTCTACCTGATTCTTAGCTCCTCTTTTTCACTTTGACATTGAATTTCAATGTAGTTTTGACGACGAGTTTTTTTTGAAACGGTATACAAAATCATTACCACAGTGTCCTGTATCAAAAACTACATTAAAATTCAATGTCAAAGTGAAAAAGAGGAGCTAAGAATCAGGTAGAAATGAGAAACAGTGAAAAAGGGATTGAATACCGGAAGAAAGAACATAAAGGGAAGCTGGGGTCTGGTACAATTGCAGCGCTACAGTTAAGCGCGACAACTGCAGCGCGACAAGTCTGAACGCTGCCTAAGGACGATTTATTCACAAGACTGCGGGGACAACAACGCGCGCACGAAAGCGTCGACGAAGCAGCAACTAATTTTGTCTTTTGCATGTTCTAGTTTTCTGATTCAATATCAAATACATTTCACACACTATTGTTACCCGACTGTTCCGCCGAAATCAGTTTTTCTCATTGAACTAAGTGTTAGCACAACCATTGATAATCTAACGACATGAGACTAACTACTGATGAAGGGAGTGGGCCTTATATACCATTTTCACTTTAAATCGGACACTTTTCAAACCAAATCGGACACTTTTCAAACCAAATCGGACACTTTTCAAATCAAATCGGACACTTTTCAAATCAAATCG